TATTATTTTATATTCTTCTGTTTGTTTTCATTTCCTAACCCTAAAATATCATCTGAAATTTTTTTGAATATTATGCTAAAATAATTTAAATTCACTCCATATCATCAAATAATAAATTTTTAACCAAATAAAGTGGGCTAAACCCAAACAACCCAATCCACAACAAATCCATGAAAAAAAGGAGTAAGGCTTTTACCTGACTTGGGCTCAGTTGACGACCCAAGAAAACTGTTGCAGCTCGCCAAGCCCTTCCTGCTAAACACACCGTTTGGAGACCAAAGGAGTGGTTTTGCTCCTTCTGAAACGACACCATTTAGGGCTTGTTTAGCTACCAAGCCAATCTCACCAAAATGATGACGTTTTTCCATCTTAACCCTAAGTATAAAAACGTTCTTTTCTCCCCTCTTTTCCCTTTTTTTCATCTTCCGTTTCTCTCTCTACCGGCTGGAGCTTTCCCTTCTCTCTACCCCAATAGTCTCTCTCTCTTCCTAATTGCTCAACCACCAATCAAAAAGTTTCCTTTCCTTCTTTGATTGGAAATAAAGGAAGAGAGTGTATAGAAACCCCTTTAGAACCCTAGATTTCTCTAAATCGAAAAGAAAGAAAGAAAAGAAAAAGAAAAAAGAAAGAAGAAAAAAAAACCTAAAACCTAACCTACTGACGTTCCCCTTATTCTCTATATTTCTTTGATTTCTTTCGTGTTTAGTTTCGATTGTGGTTAGGGTATTCGGCTAGTAATAAAAACTAAGCTTTTGATCTCAGTTTTTCAATAAAAAAAAGGATTTTTAGGGTTTCTCTCTGGTTCTCTTCCTTGCTACTTTGGGAAAAAGGTGGCTTTATAGCAGCCTTATTTGGATGCTACGGGTGACACTTGTGCTCTCCCAACCTCACGAAGCCCCTTCGTGTCTGGCATGGTGATGTTGTCCTTGGCAGGTTGCAAAACGCACCTTACAGAACCAGCTGGCATTTTTTTTATTTTCTTTTATTTTCTTTCTTTTTGTCTTCTTTTATTGTTGTTCCTATTTTCTAGAATGTTCTAATGCTTATGTGGCTTTAATCCAAATTTGTTAATTTTAAGTCTATTTAGCTTGTTTGATCTTTTTCCAATCAATTTAGCCATATTGGGTTTGTTTTTGCTAACGGACTTAAGCATATTGCAAGCCTAGAGTCGTTGAAGACCAGAAAAACCCAAGTTCAGATTTGGGCTTGATATTGATCCCTAATCATAAATAAATAAAACTGGGGCAAATATAATCAAATTAAAATAAATAAATAATAAAAGTTAAAATTAAAAATAAAAATAGTGTCTACACTTATGAATGTTCTATTAGCTTCTCTACCTT